ATTATGACATATTTTTGATTGACAGAACAAGCAACCCTCCACATCAAAAAGAAGCTGTCCGCTATCAACATTACACGAAGCACGCCACAAGAATCACAACAACTCTCCACATCATCACCGTGTATTCAATCAGGCATCTCTTCGACATCCTTCGAATCAACACATCTGCCATTGCCATTCCAACAATTATCCTCAACGACATTAACTTGTGATATCCTGTTAATGATATTCGTGATGGCAATTTTTTCTCAAGTTCAATTGCAAATTATTAATTTTTTTATGCAATACTCTTCTAAGTATTGAGGTATTTTTACTTTCACTTCTAATATTTTCAAAATTATTTTATGGACTGTGACATTAATAATTGTATAATACTCTTACATAAGGACAGTCTCTGAAACATACCGAACCGAAAAATCTCTCTCCCCAACTATAGATAATTAATTAATCCGTGACGATATAAAAGTTAATGTCATCATACCACAAGAATCAGCCAAAGGAGGACATCATACACACCCACACATACCTTTTCAAATAACAATATTAATTAATTTGCCTCGGTGATTTGATGAGTGTAAAGGTGGCTGAGGGAGGGAGAGAGGGGTTTTGGACAAAATGGCATGGCAAATGAATTATAAATTAATGTTTACGGTTAGAGGGTGAGGGGATGAAAGGGAGGGATGATTTTTGAAAGGTTTCCAATGAAAACATAAATCCCCCACAATTAATGAAATAAGGTAGGTTAGGCGGTAGTTGGGATTATGTGAAAATTATGAAGCATTTGAGGTTATCATTATTATTGTTATTATTATTACGATTGTGGTTGTTATTGTTATTTCACAGATAATAAGGATACAAATTGTGGCGATTCAGAGAAATGGGGATTAGTGGTTAGATTTTGGAATTTAATATTCATAGGAAATCAGTTAGTAATGGGCCAATATTTGCATCACTTAATAGTTTATTCCTTAGGACTAATAAGGGTGATACGATGTGTTTCATTGACGTATGTGTTTCATTGACATTTATATTAAACTTTATGGTTTCATTTGGCATATATCCAAAGGGATTGACAATATAAATCCACTGGGCTAACGATATCCAGTACAATGTAAACGTACTATAAGTGTTAAATCGGTTTTAGACAATTTTGTCATAATTTGAAAGGTAAAAGAAAACAGTGATTTCTATGTTTACCCTCCGTTCTATGGCTAATGCTGTTGCATATAGTTTGATTTTGAAAGACCATGTGCAAAATGTTCTCTTCCAATTGATCTTTCCATTTAATTAGTGGCAGCGTGAGCCATCCTTAGGCTCTCTTTTATATGCCTTTTATGCTGGGACATCCTCATTCATTCGCACAACATGACCTAGCCAACGTGGTCGCTGCAGCTCGAACCGTCTGACAATACCGATGTCCGAAAATAGTTCATTCGCAGATCGGCTGTAGGTCTTTCGGAGATTTTTTCTCTCCAACACTCCGAGAGCTGTCTCATCTGCTTGTGCAAGTATACACATTTAGGAGCGGGTAGGAGTATAACAATTGTATTCATCGAAAGGATATCCCTAGAACTCTCATATTTAGACGAAGGGTCGCAGATAGAGTGTAGAGTGGTATAATCGAAATGTGAATAAACCGGCTACCATTCGCAAGAATAGTGAAATGTCAATAGAGATCACTGTAGGTTGTAGGACCCTGTATGTAGACCACCTAATTTTTTATACTCTACACTACTATGTTGTAAGGGTATTATAGCTTTGTGTGAACCCAAGAGTTTGTAACGCGGCGAAATATGGGCCCTCGACCTACCTATCATAACTATAACATAACGGTTTGCCGAGTCGATCTAGGACCATGTGTCTATCCGTTTGTCCATTATATTTGGTAGAATTATGCAGGCCACCAATCGTCACAAAATTTTTGATGTATGACAAGTTCTGCCCAAATATAACCCCATTGTTAACCAACAACTTACGCCATATAGTTAATAAGGGTATATACGCTTTGATATAGCAAAAGTGTGCCTCGTCGAAATATTGGTATAAGACCCCATATATCTTTAGACCAAAACCGTTTCATACAATTTGAAGTCGATTTACAAATGCCCATCCGTTTAGCCGGCAGATGCACACGATAACCCTCGAAGAGAGTAACCAAATTCATCATAACATCGTAATATTTCTCCCAAACTTAGTTCAAGTTCGAAGGTGGGGAATATCGGTCCATTCCTTCTGGTACCTTCCGCACAAAATTGCTAACATTTCGCAGAACTAAACTTTGCACAGCATATTATCTTTGCCAAACCTAGTTCAAGTCCGAAGATGCGACTCATTGGTCCACTCCTTCTGGTACCCCTCCCACAAAATTGTAAACATTTTTAATAATTATAAATTCAATATAAGTCGAAATGAATATCCGATTTGATCCAAACGTTGCACAACCTATTACTTTTTCCGAGTCATAGATAAAGATGGGACCCGACGGAACTACCCTTCTTGTACCTCTCCCACAAAGGGTAAACATTTTCAATATTTATAAATCCAATATCAGGCGAATGGAATGTCTGATTTGAACCAAACTGTGCACAACCTCTTATTTTTACCAAGCCTATATAAAGTTCGCAGATGGGATTCAATGGTCCGCTCATTCTGGTACCAACCCCACAAAGGTGTCGCTATTATATAAACTTGTATATTTAATTTGAAGCGAATCAAATAACCGATTTTACCAACATTAAATCCGATACCTTTTAGATAAAAACATATACCTTATATAAAGCGAATAATAAAACCTTGGTGTGTGGGTATATATCTGTCGGCAACATCGACTGACAATTTTTATACCCTACACAACTATGTTGTCAGGGTATTATAGCTTTGTGCAGTCCCAAGTGTTTGTAACGCCGAGAAATATTGGTCCTAGACCCACCTTTAAGTATACCGATCCTCATATCTCGACTAGCTGAGTCGATCTAGGCATGTGTGTCCGTCCGTCTATCCATTATACTTTGTAAACACGATACAGGCCACAGTTATGGACCAATCTTCACGAAATTTTGCGTGTAGGATGGGTTCTGGCCAATGAAGACCCCTATTGTTTTTGGTAAAGATCGGTTAATATTTAAGAGATGAAATATACCAAATACTAAATTTTTGTCGGTTTTTCTGGTCGCTCCAGAGGCCGCAATTATGGCCCCAACATCGTGAAATTTTACATGGAGAAGGTGATCGGGCCAAAGAAAATGCGTGCATGTTTTGATAAAGATCGGCCCATATTTAGCGGGTCAAATGGACCCTGACTTTTGTGTGAAAAATGACAAAATTTGGATTCTATAGCGTATATATTTACTCCTGAAGGACAGAGACACGAGAAGTTGATAGTATATTCAAGAGGAGTGGCTGACATTTCGATTTGACATTTTCCATGGGGTTCCAGTTATGGTCAAGGACAGCGCTTGTAATTTTCGGTGATGATCAGATAAGAATTTTGGGATGAAGTGGACCGAAAATTAAATGTTTTTTGCAATTTTTCGAACCGATATATAGGCCACAGCCGATCATCACCAAACCACCCACGCTGAAGTCAATGTGGACAAGTAATAAGAAGGGCTGTACTGAATATTAGTAATATTCGGAAAATATGTCAGTGTATGGATGATGTGCAGTTGACCTCTAATCGGACAAGAGGATGCAAATGTCACGTAATATTTCCCAGGCTCAGAATAAAGTTCTTTAGAAAGTTAGAACTCCGTCGTAGTTGGGTAGGGTATCGTATGGTCGGCCCCGTCCGACTATACTACTGTTAAATTTTGAAAATGTGTATTATAAGTACGAAAGAATTATTAATGGTACAAATTCGAATGGATATTCAAAACTCATACTTTAAATATACGGACTGTCCTTAATGATACTAAAACAAGTAAAATTGTGGTTAGATTCGGTCTGATCGTTTATACCCTCCACCATGTGATGTACATTCAACATATCAACATAATGTACATGTACATATCAACATAACAAAGTCGTAACCTTCATATGGAGACAACGTAAAATATCGGAAAGTTGGTTGGACCTTTATATGGGGGCTATGTAAAAACATGGTGCTATAATGCTGGCCTATGTAGGCCAGCCTCAAGCCTACGTCTGAAGACTTCAAAGTACCAACAATTGTGCGGGATCTTTATATGAGGTCGATGTCAGAACATGGGCCTATCTATATGTAGAATTTTATCCTGATCAAGAATATTTACTTTATGCGGTCTCCGACAAAGGTTTCAAGGTGTTGCAAACGGAATGACACATGTAATATACCATCCACCTTATGATGTAGGCTATAATTAGTACATGAAGTTGAATATTGAATTTTTTAGGTGGAAATGTATATTTTAGAGACCAAGAGAAGTAAGAAATGAATATTGAATTTTTGATCTTCTTTCAAATAAAGGTAGCATTTTGAAATTTTCAAATACATGTCCAATGTTTGTAATATTCTATATTACGTACTTGTATGTTTCGATATTTTGAGGATTTATTTTTGTAATTTTTGATTTTGAGTTTTCAATGCATTTTGCTAAATTTTAATCCGTGCTTTGTAATAGCTACTGTATGATGGTATTTTTCGATTTTTGAGGATTTTTATCAAATTTTCCATACGAATTGGCTTCAAAAATTTTACTTTGGGTTATAATTGGGTAGAAAATATAACTCTAATAAATATCTTTAATATTAAATCTTCGTACGCACACAAAATAAACCCATAATGCCCTTCTCGTAATACCACGTTCAACAATTTGTCATGTCCTGTTCTGACTTTTATTTTTTGTGACAGAATTCCTTCTGCAAAAAAGCCACTTAAAGCCAAACTTCATTTAGTAAACATTATTTGGTATGTTTTTTTTTTCTTCCTTTCCCCAAAAAATTTCCTCACCCCCATTGTCAATGTGTTTATATTCTTCTCACAACAGTTTTTGTTTTTTCTTTCCTTTCCTCTTCCTTTGCAGATTCCTGGCAACCACCATGTTATCGGCCGGTGTCACAATCATGGATCCCATTGCCCTGACAATGATTGAAAAGTATGGCGGTGATTTTGGACGTGAACGTTTATTCTCCAGCATTGGCATGGCGATTTTTTCACCCATTACCGGTGTCATGATTGATTACTATTCTCGTGGATTGGGCTACACAGATTACTCGGCCGCCTTCTATACATATGATGTCTTATTAATTATTTCAACAGTTTCGGTGCTGATGATGCCGCTGGGTGAAAAGTTGCCGGCGGACAATGTCTTCAGAGATTTGTGGAATTTATTAAAAATGCCACATGTGATAACATTTATATTCTTCTTGTTTATATTGGGTAACTTTTGGGGTTTCATCGAAAGTTTCCTATTTTTGTATTTAAAGGAGCTGGGTGCACCAAATTATTTATTGGGTAAGTTGTTGATTTTTTCTTTGTTGTTGTTGTTGCTTTTATTTGTATGTTAACGGGTTTATGATTTTTTTTCTTTCATATGACTTTTGATGGTAATAATATAATGTGGATTTCATAGATTGGATTTATTTGTTATATTTGTATGTATGTTAGAATATGATTTGTGCTCAAATGAATTATATGACCTTATGTACGAAAGGTACTAAAATGTACGCATGGAAATGTCTAGAACTCTTGTATTAGAAATGAGGATGTACAAATGGTTTTTTGATACAAGAAAAGTTTTAAAAAAATTTGGGGTCATTGGAAAAAGAATAAAGCCGGAAATCTGGGATTTGGTATTTGTGTTCAGGGCTGATTGGTTGGTGTTGGTCATATATGACATGGATCCCTCTGCAAAGATATGTCGTCTGTTGAAATTAAGACAAAGATGTCAATAATTAACATAAAGCTCTGAAATTTTGCATAGTCATTGCTAGTGCTTAAAGGATTTTTTGTATTGCAAAAGGGATATATCAGTCGACGCTTTGATATTGCCACCCGTATAGCGGTATCCCCATAATATTCGGTATTTTGGAGGTGTAGGGGACGTGTTTCAACCGAATTAGCTGTTTTTTGGTATAGCGAATGTATAGCGAATCTTCTAAATAAAAATTACATACCCAAATTTCAGGGTTCCCCGTATAACGTACCCGCAATATTTGGCATTGTGGCATTTTGTGGAGGAATGGCACGTTTATTCACCGGAATTGACTGTCATTTTGTATTTTGGGTTCACAATGCAAGCAAACCTTTCTACAAAAAATTATTAACATTGATCCATGTTCTGAGTAGTTCCCATATAAGTGTACCCCCAATATTCGGTCCATTGGGATGTTTGTCAGGTTTTTCAACCCGATTGGCTATAATTTAGTATTTTTCGGTTTTCATGTATAGCGAATCTTCTTAATAAAAAATTTTATTTTTGTGTCAAATTTCGGGATTTACTTCAATTGGGTATTTTGGCTTCTCCTACAAAAAAATTAAAAATATTTATACACGTTTTGGGGTAGCCCCGGATATACTTCAATGTTGGGTATTTTGTGGATGTTACAAAAAAATTAATAACTTAGCTGTAAGCATATATTTGGTATTGTTATTGGGCCCCTAAATATATTTAAACCAAAAATTATCAATATCAGTCCCAATTTTGCTATAGCCCCCATATAACAGTAACCCCAACATTCGGTATTTTGAGGATTGTAGACATCATTTTTAAACGTCGAACGTAATTTTTCGTATGTTCAAAGCACTAGCTTATACTGTGAATTTGCGGCTAAATTTTTTAAAATGCAGAGAATAGGAATACAGTTTTATAGGGAAGGATTTTTATATGGAAACCCGAAGTGTCAAGTTACGATGGATTTAGTGGAAAAAACTTTAATATATAGAAAATTGGGTATGTTTAGATGGGCGCTAACTTCGCATGTATCAATCTAGACCTAATTAAGTACTCTGTGCCAACTTTTGTCTCAATCGGACAAATATTGGGAGTTTTGTGCAACATTTAAATAAAATCGGACGAAACTATATATGGGAGCTATATCTAAATCTGAACCGATTTTAACCACACTTGACATGCATTATTCTGTACCTAATTCAGTACTCTGTGAAAAATTTTGTCTCAATCGGACAAATATTGGGAGTTTAGATAAAATCGGACGAAACTTTATATGAGAGCTACTTCTAAATCTGAACCGATTTCAACAAAACTTCGCATACATAAAATGTTGTGCCAATCGGGCTAAATTTTACACTTTGGTGCTGCATTTACATAAAATCGGACGAAACTATATATGTTTGGAGCGAATTTTTTATATATAATCCTGTGTACGTTGCTGATGGGAGCTATATATAAATCTGAACCGATTCCAACAAAACTTCGCATAAATCCATCTGGGCCTAATTCAATACTCAGTGCAAAATTTTGTCTCAATCGGATCAATATTGACATAAAATCGGCGGAAACTATATATGAGAGCTATATCTTAATCTGAACCGATTTAAACAAAACTTGGCATTGATTCATGTAGACCTAATTCAGGACTATGTGCAAAATTTTGACTCAATCGTACAAATATTGGGAGTTTAGTTTACTATTTACTTCTTAACCGATTTTCTCCAATTTCAATAGGGTTCGTCTTTGGGCCAAATAAGTGACAAATTTCATCCAAATCGGATCATAAATGCGACCTGTAGGCCTATTCTGTAACTTTCAACAACATTCGATATTGTTTAAATTTCTTTTGTTATTGTAAAAACAATAAAACAAACAAATGAAATTGTTGTAAAATAAACAATATCGAATGTTGTTAAAAAGTTAAAGAATTGGCCTACTGTACTTTGTTTACAATTCAAGATGGACAGACAGACGGACGGACATGCATAAATCGACATAGAAAGTGATTCTACGAATATTCTCAAAAGGAACCATGTTTCTACCTCTTATCCTTTTGCCTGTTTGCTTTGTGCCATATGCATAGTGTGGTGAAGGGTATAGTATTTATAGACAACTTTTTGCACATCGTAATCCTTCATCCAGGCCTAAATCATGTTCGAAGATTGATATTCTCTAGCTTCGAACTCAGGTATTTCTTTCCTCAAGTATCTCTTCTATAAATTGTCAACATATCGACTTTTCCTAATTTTTACTTCTTAGTTGCATAGCCCATATTCTACTTGAATAGGCCTAGGCCTGATAGGACGTTCCTCGATTTTTTGGTAAAGTAGAATCCTTGCTTAACGTTGTTATATTTATTATTTTAACATACCAAAAATTGAGTACCCCATCTAATATACACTGCTTTACGAAAAAATATATATTAGTCATGTTTTTGCAAACAAACAAACAAATCGATATTAGTGTCAATCAGTGAAATGCCACAGCAAACTAACAAAAAAAGGGACTTCTTAAACAAACTTTTTGTGTAACATGTCAAATATAATCAATAGCAAAACGATGTTCAGAGGCATGAAAAAAGTTTTCTTCTACAGAAAAATATTTTTCAAAAGGTCATAGGTTAGTCATATAAAAAAACTAAAAAGTTTGTTATCCGTGTATGACAGAGTTCAACTAAATTTGTTAGAGAACAAAATTTTTTCACATCCGCTGTCTTTAAATGGAAGGACAATTTATTGGGCCTGCTTTTTCATTTCAACCAAACCACAAGAAGGAAAAACACACACACACAAAATTTAATGAAAAAAACTCCCTCGTGAATTCCACACTAATGGAAATTAAGTAACTGCGATATTTTGAGGGGTGGAGAGGGGCGGCTATTGTATTTTACATTTCACATTCCGAACATCAGCCATCACACAGCCCATAATGTACTTAAGTCAATTCGGGATGTCGATGTTGGTAATGTTGCTTATGATGCTGAGCTGCTGAGGGAAAGGGGAACTCAAATTTAGGATTTCCACATTGTTAATGGAATACTAACTAACTGACTACCTAAGAAGCAGTAGAATCTTATTTTCCATTTCACTACATTTTTCTTTTTTGTTTCTTTTGCAGGCATTACCATCACTGTGGGCACCGTTAGCAGTATACCATTCCTCTATGGCGCCGAGAAAATTACCCGAATTTTCGGACATGTTAATTTGATTATTATTGCTTTCTTTTCGCATGCCGGTCGTTTGGTGGGCTATTCCTTCATCGAGTAAGTAATAAACAACAATTGTAAGTATGTAATGTAATATACGCACACGCTTAGAAATTACATCCGCACCTACATATGTATGTGTGTGTTCACTTTTAATCGAAGATACATGTCTTTGAGTGTGTGTGTGTGATGTTGAAACACGCTTTAGAGTCACAAATCTTTGCACATATTTGAAATTCTAATCACACCCGCAGAAATACAAAACACAGCTGATATACAGACTATTTATGATGGTACAGTGGTTAAGGTTGGATACAAAAAATAAAAAGACATGATCAATTTTGGCTAGTTCGACTATGAATATTTTTTCGAGGATCAACCGACATCCAGGCGTGGATTTTTAAAGAATATTTCTTCGAGGATCAACCGACCTCCATGCCGGGATTTTAAAGAATATTTTTTCTAGGATTAACTGACCTCCAGGCGTGGATTTTTAAAGAATATGTCTTCGAGGATCAACCGACCTCCATGCCGGGATTTTAAAGAATATTTTTTCGAGGATTAACTGACCTCCAGGCGTGGATTTTTAAAGAATATTTCTTCGAGGATCAACCGACCTCCATGCCGGGATTTTAAAGAATATTTTTTCGAGGATCAACAGACCTCCAGGCTTGGATTTTTTAAGAATATTTTTTCGAGGATCAGCAGATCATCAGGCGTGGATTTTTTCAAGAATATTTTTTCGGGGATAAACTTATCTCCAGGCGTGGATTTTTTAAGAATATTTTTCGAGGATAAACTTATCTCCAGGCGTGGATTTTTTTAAGAATATTTTTTCGAGGATAAACTGATCTCCAGGCGTGGATTTTTTTTAAGAATATTTTTTCGAGGATAAACTGATCTCCAGGCGTGGATTTTTTCAAGAATATTTTTTCGGGGATAAACAGATCTCCAGGCGTGGATTTTTTTAAGTATATTTTTTCGAGGATAAACTTATATCCAGGCGTGGATTTTTTAAGAATATTTTTTGGAGGATAAACAGATCTCCAGGCGTGGATTTTTTTAAGAATATTTTTTCGAGGATAAACGGATCTCCAGGCGTGGATTTTTTTAAGAATATTTTTTCGTGGATAAACTGATCTCCAGGCGTGGATTTTTTTTAAGAATATTTTTTCGAGGATAAACTGATCTCCAGGCGAGGATTTTTTTAAGAATTTTTTTTCGTGGATAAACTGATCTCCAGGCGAGGATTTTTTAAAAATTTTTTTTTGAGGATAAACAGACCTCCAGGCGTGGATTTTTAAAGAATATTTTGTCAAGGTTAAACAGACCTTCAGCCCCGGAATTTTTAAGAATATTTTTTCAAGGTTAAACAGACCTTCAGGCCTGGATTTTTAAAGAATATTTTTATAGAGAATTATCAAACCTCCAGGCGTGGATTTTTAAAGAATATTTTTTCGACAATTAACAGACCTCAAGGTGTGGATTTTAAAGGATATTTCTTCGACAATTAACAGACCTCAAGGCGTGGATTTTTAAAGAATATTTTTTCGACAATTAACTGACCTGCAGGCTTGGATTTTTAAAGAATATTTTTTCGACAATTAACTGACCTGCAGGCTTGGATTTTTAAAGAATATTTTTTAGAGAATTATCAGACCTTCAGCCGCGGATTTGAGTTTTAAACAATATTTTTAGAGAAAACTATCAGACCTTCAGCCGCGGATTTGAGTTTTAAACAATATTTTTAGAGAAAACTATCAGACCTCCAGGCCTGGATTTTTTATGAATATTTTTATAGGGGAATACCAGACCTCAAGGCGTGGATTTTTAAAGAATATTGTTAAAGGGGAATACAACACCTCAAGGCGTGCATTTTTAAAGAATATTATTATAGGGGAATACCAGACCACAAGGCGTGGATTTTTATACCCTACACAACTATGTTGTCAGGGTATTATAGCTTTGTGCAGCCCCAAGAGTTTGTAACGCCGTGAAATATTGGTCCTAGACCCACCTTTAAGTATACCGATCGTCATATCTCGATTAGCTGAGTCGATCTAGACATGTGTGTCCGTCCGTCCTTCTGTCCATTATAATTTGTACACGATACAGGCCACAGTTATGGACCAATCTTCACGAAATTTTGCATGTAGGATGGGTTCTGGTCAGTGAAGACCCCTATTGTTTTTGGTTAATATTTAGGGGATGAAATGGACCAAATACTTAATTTTTGTTGGTTTTTCTAGGCTCTCCAGAGGCCGCAGTTATGGTCCGAACATCGTGAAATTTTGCATGGAGAGAGGGTCGGGCAAAAGAATAAGCATGCCTGTTTTGATAAAGATCAGTCAATATTTAGCGGGTCAAATGGACCCAGACTTCTGTGTGAAAAATTACAAAATTTGTATTCTATAGCGTATATATTTACCCCTGAAGGACATAGACCCGAGAAGTTGATATTATATCCAAGAGGAGTGGTTGATCTTTAGACTAATACCAATTACATTGTTGTATGTGCTCGGATGTGGGAGTTACACCTAAATATTTAAAGGTATCTCCGAATTCGTATATTATTTAGTAACCCATTATCACTCTAGAGAGCGGAACTATAGCGCTGATCGCTTTGAAATGTTCCATTAGATTCCAATTATGGTCAAGGACAACGTCTATAATTTTCAGTGATGATCACATAATAATTTTGGAATGAAGTGGACCGTGTGTTATTTTTGTCAGATTTTCTAGACCACAAATGAAAGCAAAACATCACATATTTTCCAAGATGAAGGGGATCTGACCAAATACTTAGAGCGGCTGTTTAGATGATGATCGGTCAATATTCAAGATCTATATTCGGTAAAAAGTGTACAAAAATCACGAAATATTGCCCAGGCTCAGAATATAGAACCGCAGAAAGTTTACTTTTCGTGGTAATTGTGTAGGGTACATCCGCTCAATGGTTTAAGAATATTTTTATAGGGGATTACCAGACCTCAAGGCGTGAATTGTTAAAGAATATTTTTATAGGGGAATACCTGACCACAAGGCGTGAATTTTTAAAGAATATTTTTTCGTGGACTAACTGACTGCCAAACTTTTTTCAACTCAATTGAAATGCCACATTCCATAATCCGTGTCCCTCACCACAGTGCCACATCGAACAGCATCTTTCTTATTCCATTATTGCCATTGACGTGTGGTCTTTCAAAAAACACCACACTCATACACATACACAAAAACCTCCGACACTTTACACCAAGATTTGGTTAGGCTGAGTGTACGAGTATGTGTCGCTCTTATGTTGAGCGGTTACGGTGGCATATTTGACAGGTTTTTGTGTTGTTGTTGCTTGCCAGCCTTATTTGTGATTCTATTTGATTTTGTTTTTATTCACTGCTTGGGTTTTTTCCTGCATTACCTATGAATAATCCCCAACTACTTTGTAATTTTTTCCATCTTCTTCTTCATTTTTTCTATTTTATCCATTCTCAATGGCCTTATTTGCCTTACTGATGCTGATGCTCGTGATTGCTAATGGTGTTCCCACTACTACTGCTGCTACTGTTGTTGGTGTTGATAATGATGATGTTGTTGTTGCTGATGACGAAAATGCTGCTGCCGCTGCTACTGCTCTTGGTGGTGTTCAGAAATGCCTGGTGGTGTTTTCCTTTTGAGGCAATGGAAGCTCTCTCATGTCATCTGATGTGGGTGGCAGCTGCCACATACTGTTCCATATTGGCTCCGAAAAGTCTATTGGCCACTTTGATCGGTGTACTGGGCATGGCCCACTTCAGTTTGGGTAAGTACGACACCAAAAAAAGAAAACCCCATACAGATTATTTGAAATTAGAAATTTGATGCTTTGGTTATGGTGTTTTGGATTTCTTTTTGATACGTGTATGTATGGGTGCATGGAAATGAGAATGGGTTTTTTTTCCGAATGGGTATTGGTGTTGCTGAATTATTCCTTTTCGATTCGATGTCATAATACTTAGACTGATTTGAAAATATCAGGGAGGTGGTATGTTGGAATTGTCCCTAACCTCCTGACATGGCTGGTAGAATAGGCCTAAACCAAGAAAAAATATATTGTAGCAAAGAAATGTTTAAAGCTTCGAAGGACTGTTCCTTGAATTTCCTTTTCTATACCCTATCAGGATACGACATTTGTTATTCTTTAAGCTGAGCTATATTGTTGTTGTTATTTTTTGCTTTTTTTGAGTGAGAAAATGATTGAATTGAAACGATATCTTAAGGACAATCACTCAATCGGATTTTATTATTTTGTTTTGTAAAATAGAAGCCTATCGAATATGTAATGTTTTGTTGTTGTTGTTTGTGGTCCATTCAATAAAGCTTAACAAATTTGTTGTTATTTATGTAGATGAGATTGCCATAATGGATTTTTCTGTGGCATTTTGTATTGAAATTATTTTTTTTTTGTGATGGATCAGCAAATTTTCTATTCGAATATATTTAAATAAGGTTAACGGAATTAGGACAATAGTCATGGAAGCTTTTATAGGGAAGCGGAGGGTACGGTATGTAGAACTCCAGTTCTACAAATAAAATTGTATTAAGGCGTGGATTTAAAAAGAAATCGGGGACTAAATAAGGCGTAGATTTTTTCGGAGACTAAATAAGGCGTAGATTTTTTCGGGGTCTAAATAAGGCGTAAATTTTTTCGGAGACTAAAAAAGGCGTAGATTTTTTCGGGAACTAAATAAGGCGTAGATTTTTTCGGAGACTAAAAAAGGCGTAGATTTTTTCGTGGACTAAATAAGGCGTAGACCTTTTCGGAGACTAAATAAGTCGTAGACTTTTTCGGGGACTAAATAAGGCGTAGACTAAAAAAGGCGCAGATTTTTTCGGGGACTAAATAAGGCGTAGAATTTTTTGGGGATTAAATAAGGAACAGATTTTTTCGGGGACTAAATAAGGCGTAGATTTTTTCGGAAACTAAAAAAGGCGTAGATTTTTTCGGGGACTAAGTAAGGCGTATATTTTTTTGGGGAATAAATACGGCGTAGATTTTTTCGGTGACTCAATAAGACGTAGATTTTTTCGGGGACTAAATAAGGCGTAGATTTTTTCGGGGACTAAATAACGCGTAGGTTTTTTTCGGGAACTAAATAAGGCGTACATTTTTATACCCTTCACCACACTGTGATACAGGGTATTATGTCTTTGTGCATATGTTTGTAACAGGCAAAAATAATCGAGATAGACCCATGGTTCCTTTAGAGAATATGCATAGAATCACTTTCTGAGTCGATTTATGCATGTCCGTCCGACCGTCCGTCTGTCCATGTTAAATTGTAAACAAAGTACAGGTCGCATTTATAATCCGATTTGGATGAAATTTGGCACAAGTCACTTATTTGGCCCAAGGACGAACCCTATTGAAATTGGAAAAACTCGGTTCAAATGTAGATATAGCTCCCATATATATATTCGTCCGATGTAAGGTAAATGGTGTACCAAAGTCCCTATATATCTCTCGATTTGCACGAAATTTGACACAGCGTGATGAATTAGGTCTAGAATGATGTGTGCAAAGTTTCGTGAAAATCGGTTCAGATTTAGATATAGCTTCCATATATAGTTTCGCCCGATTTTAGGTAATTTGTCCGCTCAAGTCCCTGGAAATCTTTTGATTTGCACTAATTTTGGCATAGCGTACTGAATTAAGTTTAGAATGATGTGTGCAAAGTTTCGTGAAAATTGGTTAAGATTTAGATATAGCTCCCATATATATTTTCTTCCGATTTCCACTAAAGTCCCTGCAAATCTTTTCATTTGCACGAATTTTCACATAGCGTACTGAATTAAGTTTAGAATGATGTGTGCAAAGCTTCGTGAATATCGGTTCCGATGTAGATATAGCTCCCATATATATCTTCGACCGATTTATATCTTCCGATTTGCGATTTGAAATTTAGCATAGCGTAATGAATTGCGTCTATAATAATGTGTGCTAAGTTTCATGAAAATCGGTTCAGATTTAGATAAAGCGTCCATATATAGTTTCGCCCGATTATAGGTAAATGGTGCACCAAATCGGTTCAGAGTTAGATATAGCTTGCATATATATTTTCGTCCGATTTTGTGTAAATGATGCACCAAAGTCAGTATATATCTTTCGATTTGCACGAATTTTGTCAAGGTTCCCTGAAATCGGTAGATATAGGTAAAAAACGAGTCGTCTGTCGTGGTGAAGGGTATAATATAGTCGGCCCAGTCCGACTTTACTACTTTCCTTACTGGTTTAAATAATATATTTTTCAACAACCAAATGTATTCAAAATTTTTTCCAATGAATTTGACACTTAAATACAGTTCTGAAATCTCCTTTACCGGAACCTTTTTTATAAGAGCTCTCATTTTAATTTCATTAATTTTGCATGTTTTTGCTTGTTCTTCCTTTTTCACCTACGTTATTTATATGTCTGCCATCTTCCATTATAGGCCGTGGTAGTGGTTCCTTTACTGGTGGTCTACTCATCGGACAATTCGGTACACGTGATGCCTTCCGTTATATGGGACTGTTGGCTGTGGTGGGCGGCATCGCCTATGGTATTCTCCATTTGGTGTGGTTGCGTAAATTCGATCACAATATGGACGATACGGAAGATGAAGTGGAGGCTGTCGAAGCGGTGGAGGCAGGTGAAACGGAAAAATTAACCGAACCCCCGACAAAAGAGCAGGGCACCTCCATGTCATTGGAACGTTTGAGTCTAATGATAAAATACAATCAAATTGGCAGTTTATCTTCACTGCCACGGGGTTCAAGGGTAAGTAGCCATTGGCCATGCGATGCGATGTTGTGGATGCTGATGATGTTGATGATGATGGACCTGATGAGACACCATGATTTGTTGTTATGCAAAAATCCCATTACCGACCTTACTAATGGCATTTTTGTTAGACTGCACCACCATTGAAATGAAAAGTTCATGGCCTGTTTCATTAATTTTCATTTTTCCAATCTCATTCGATTGCCTACGGGAAGCTTTTGTTTAAATTGGCACCCATCCCAACCTCCGAACCTCCCAACCTCCCTACTTTTTGTTTGAGTTGTTATTTTTTTATCACTGTTGTTCGTTCTTTCTTCCTTGCAGGGTGACATCCACGACCATTTATCAATACGTCGCAGCAGTTATAATGTCGAGTCATTACGTGTGCCCAAGCACGGCATCGGCAGTGCCTCCAAGGTTGACATTTTACGCTCAGCATTGGAAATAAATCACAAATCCTCAAATAATTCGGTACTGAGCAAGGCCGACAACCGTACATCGAATCAATCATTGGGCCGCAATCGTGCCGACAGTGCGCCCAAACTCAATCATACCACAATGAAAAATATCTCACAACCTGCCCTGGAGGCAGTCGTACTGGAGGTAAGCTATGCGCCAGCGAGCTATGATAACGCATAACTCTTGGATTTGTTTGTTGTTGCTGTTATTGTTGTTGTTTTTTTTCTGCCTGTAGTTTGTTGTTATGTTTATTTAACACGCCAGACATTGGCTTAGATAAGCCGTTGTGTGTGCGTTTGCAGAGTGGCTGCACTATGGGCCAAAGTGTTTACTTTTGTTATATGAAGTTTCATATCAAAAAGTATTATCGGAGCAGACAACAGTTATCATCATCATGGTCGTCGTAATTTGCAATAAGTGGAATTTCTGTTTTTATTTTGATTTATTGCTTTATAAATAATGCTGTTGACGATGATGATGGTGAATTGTTTTATTGCTCTGAGGCTACATTGAACTGCAATTATGGGGAGATTATATGTGGGTTTTATTATTTTATTGCTTAACACCGTGGATAAGACTAATGGAATTAATGGAGGACATATTAATTGGGTGACTCATGGACAGTACACACATTTAATATCATCTACCATAAGTAGGACGTTATCGAAATCTGCAGTGGCCTCTTTGGATACCTCAATACAAAAATGCAATATTATTCCATGTGCAGGTATAGTTCCCATAGAATGGGAACTTCATTTTTGTTATTTTTTAGTTCGATAGCAAAACGTTGTTTCCCGTTTTTGGTACTGCCAGTTGTAAGTTTTTTGAGGACATTCGACATGTTTTTATTTCAAAACTTCAACAAATCTAAAACTATGCTGAACGTTGCAAGGACAATTTAAAAATCTATATTGAAAATTTTCTGGAAAGAAAAATTTAATTCAATATTACACTCACATCATTGGAACCATTAAGGTGAATGTTATATCAATACATAGCTCTGTATTGAATAATTTCTTATATGTTTTCATCCTTCACGAAACCGAAATGCCTAGCTACTGGAACGTTTTTTTTAAATTTTTAAATAATTTTTTTTTGTTTTTGCAAAATAGTCAGGCTTAATGCCAGTTTGTTGTTTTTATAAAAAACAACTATTTATTAGTGGGGAATGTATGGCATTGTCCGCCGAGGGGTAAGGCAGGGAAGACTATAGTTTCGGATCTCGCCACTGATCCTCATCAGTTCCCTTAGTTTTTCTTTGTTGGGATATTCTCCCCAGAAGCTAAAAACCTTTCAAACCCAAATGTCTCTTGTGACAATTCGAAGTTCTTACGTTACCAGCGATACGACCCCAATGAGAAGTTCGTTTCGTTGGCGCCTGACTTCGTGGTCAACAAGGCATTTACAGACAACTACAATACATTTCCCACTGCTATGTGTCGTCACTTTGTGACGAATGCACATATCGTTGTTGTTGGTATTGCTAGTTAAAGCAATAAACCAAACAGTATGACCGTGCCTCGTCTACAACTTCAGTAGTGTTGGCGGGTTATTTGGGATACCATTTGTATTTTGTTTTTGCAAAATAGTCAGGCTTAATCCCAGTTTGTTGTTTTTATAAAAAAAAGTACTTTTTTCAACCAGCAAATAAGGCGTGAATTTTTAAATAATATTTTTTTGAGGACCTCGTAAGACGTGGACTTTTTAATAACATTTTACGACCACTAGATATGACGTGAATTTTTGAATATTATTTTTTTCGAAGTATTAATTTTTAATAATATTTTTTTCGAGGACTAAATAAGGCGTGGATTTCTATTTCTAAGGCATAGGTTATTAAATAATATTGTTTTCGAGTACCAAATAAAGCGTGAACTTAATAATATTATTTTTTATTCGAGGAAGAGATAACCCATGATTATGCCACATATGGGCTCAAATAAAAGGAGAGTACAAAAATGTTGTCTCTCCCATTAAACTTAATACCTGGAAAGGCTCATTTTGAAGACTTCGAACATTTTCCATGCCTCAAACCAGTTGTCCCACATATAAACTTATTGGTTCCCTAACACTTGCTATTTGCGAGTTGGACTTCTCAGCAGTTACTTTTCGATAATTGTCAATTCACGGTCGAACCTTAGGAGGTAATATCCTTAGCATTCGAATGTTGTGACAATCAGATTGCCCATAAGTTCATCGCCCACACCTCGATATATACATGGGAGACCTAATAAATTACTTTTTCATTACATACTTGTGTAAAACTTGGCCAGGAATTCTAAAACGGAACAACTTCAGGGAGAATTTGTGGCTAAATCCATTAAAATATAACAAAAGATTTCAACAGGTAGGAAGACAGACGAACATAAGGTCTGCGACGAATATGTTGCAAACTTAATGACCCAGTTAATATATTCATCGCCTCATGGGGCCGGTATAACAACTTCGGGTGTTTCAAAAAAACATATTTTCATATATTTATATACGACCTATAAATCTATATTAAAATGATCCCTCTGTAGATGTCGAATCACAGCCACATCAGCTGGGATATGTATCATAATGAAAAACTTATGGTCCATATACTCCTATATACTTATCAGAAGCCTATATTACAAATTAGATAAACTACATTTGGAATTTGCAGTTTCTACAAAAAAAAAATTATCATTGGTCCACCCAAATAAGCATAAAGTGTTATTGAAAGCCGATGGGTAGCACTGATTTTGAATGTTTTGATATTGCCTCCAAACAAAAGCCCTTCTCCATTTTCGGTATTAATACCGACATCGGATTCCTGGTAAATTTCAATAGTACTTTCTCAAGAATATAGACTACCAGATAAGTAGGCTTTCAATTTTAAGAAAACATTTTTTAGATCTCTCAGAGTTATAGACGTGGATTTTTAAGAATATGTGGATTTTCTCAATGATGGATTTTCTCAAGGACCCTCCGGGTAAAAGCCGTGGATGTTTAAATAATATTTTTCCAGAAACTTTCAGAGCCAGAATATTTTCCACGGCTATTTTATTACGATAATCAGGTTTATATGTGTATATTTTTATAACACAGACAATTATGTTGTCTGGGTATTATAGCTCTGTGCAGCCCCAAGAGTTTGTAATGCCGCGAAATATTTGACCTAGACTCAGCTTTAAGTATACCTATCTGGACTAGCTGAGTCCATCTAGACATGTGTCTTCATCCGTCTGTCCATTATAATATGTGGACACGATACATGTAACAGTAATGGACCAATCGGCACTAAATTTAGAATGAAGGATGGATTCTGGCCAAAGATGATAGGGGATGAAATTGACCAACAATTATTTTTGTCTGTTTTTCTGGTAGTTTTAAAGGCGACAATTATACACGGACACAACGAAATTTTACACCAGGAAGGGAATCTGGCCAAAATTTAAGCATGACTGTTTTGATGAAGATCGGTCAACCTTTAGCAGGTCGAATGGACCCAGTCTTTTGTGTGAAAATTTACAAACTTTGTATTCTGGGGTATATGTATTTACTCCTGAATAATATAGACTCGATATGTTGATAGTATATGCAAGAGGAGTGGTTTGCCTTTAAATTGACACCAATTATTTTCTTGTATGTACCCGGATGTGGGAGTTACACGTAAATATTTAAAGGTGTCTATGTATTATGATATTGTTTAGTAATTCTATTACCCCGCTAGAGGGCAAAAATGTCGCGCTGATCGCTGTGAAGTTTTACACGAAGTTCCGGTTATGGTCAAGGAGGGCGCCTATAATTGTCGGTGATGTTGAGATGATATTTAGGTGGTGCAAGGAACCAAAACCGTTACTTTTGTCAGATTTTCTAGTCGCTCTAGAAGTGAAGGGAATCTAACCAAATACTTAGAACTCCTGTTTGTATGATGATGGGTCAATATTACGAGGGTCAAATCAACCAAAATTTAATATTACCAATTTTTTTATTTTATGACGTAAATATTCCCCTCAGTAAAACAAGATTTGAAAATATGCCAGGATAAGAAAGGGGAATTTTCGACCTATAATCGGCCAAGAGGGTGCACCGCGAAATATTGTCCAGGCTCAGAATAATGAACCGCAGAAAGTTACATTTCGGTCATAGTTGTGTAGGGTCGGCCCCGTCCGATTATACTGCTCCGCTCATAGGTTTTGTAAATATTTATAATATGATAATCACAGTAAGACTACATCGCTGATAGTCATATACAATTGTGTTTAAAAAGAGTATTTAAGGGCATTTTTTAATTATTTTGTTCAAGGTCTTTCAAAGCTAAAGATCTGAATTTCGAGCTATATGCGTGGTTTTTAATGAATACTTTTTTTAAGGACTCTAAAGCCATTGGAGTGAATTATTTAAGAATATTTTCCCTAATCCAGTGTACTTTTGAAAATTATTTTCCGTGGGACAGTCAGATATACAGAAGTTAATTCTTAAGGATATTTTCTTAAGTATTATCAGATCCGTAAGAGTGTTCTTTTATGTTGTTTTACAAATGCCATAAAAGGAATTATTGACCTTCCATCCAAACACAAAGCCACTGTGCCCACGAAACGGAGAAGATAAGGTGAATGAATGCCATCTGCAAGGTTATATCGTTGATTGTTATGCACGCCTCATATCTTTGCAATGAAATGAAGAGGAATTTTCGTTTTTCTGTCTATCCTTTAAGACATTTGTTTTAACTTTGTTCTTAAAGGTGTAACCGAAAATTGATGATTGAACCTTTAATGATGACGTGGCGAAGCAGTCAAGTGTTACGATTTTTTGATTTCAAGTTTTCACATACCTTCGATGTACGGCAATTTGCCATGGTGTCGCTTTAATATTTTTTGAACTCAATTTTTCATTGAGGTGAAAATGAAATTGCTATGGAATTTGGTCTGGTAATTATATTTTCTTGCTCGTTGTGTTGTTGTTGCTGCTGATTTGGTGAACTGGTTTTGTTAACCTTTCATTTCATGGTCGTCGGTATGGTATTTTCTAAGATTTTTTCGTGTTGGTATTTATCGGGGGTGTAAAAGCGTAAAATATTTGTGTTTCTCCTTTGCGGAATGTTGAGGTTGAATGAGTTTCACCTATTTGCCATGGCAAATTGAATCGGTAACAGGCTTCAGCCAAATCTTCTGTGT